AAAAAGAAATATTTCAGGGAACTCCATACTGTTCTCCACAGTGGCTGCACCAGTCTGCATTCCCACCCCCAGTGCAAGAGGGTTCCTTTTTCTCAGCATCCTCGCCAGCACTTGTCGTTTGTTTATTTGTTGATGGTAGCCATTCTGACAGGTGTGAGATGGTACCTTATTGTCATTTTGATTTGCACCTCTCGGATGATGAGTGACTTTGAGCATGTTTTCATGTGTCTCTTGACCTTCTGTATGTCCTAACTCCATGAATTTCACAAAAGTGAGCTACTTTTATTAAAAGCAAAATTACCCCCCCCCCCCCATTTTAAATCCATCTGCTTTTGATAACCTTTCACCTGGGGAGATATAATTCTCTAATCAATCACAGCCCATAGACTGAGATTTCAGTGAGGAAGTAGAAAGTGACATCCGGTACAAAGCTTTTGATCTGTCTGCCAGGTGTTTTCCCGCGGAAGAAAGATGACAGCTCGCATGTACGCAGCTGTAAGGGGGCTTCAGTGCTTCCAGTAGAAAGGGACTGTGGTCTTCCCTTAGCAGGGATTCACTGACGATGTTAGCATTTGGTCTAGGTCAGTGGTTTCCAACCTTCTTTTGGCCATGCCCCACCTAAGCATCTCTAAAACCCTGATGCCCACCCCCCCCCCCGCCCCCCGTGACATAAAATTCTTATTATTCAAAAAGTGAGCTCCTATTCACATGGAGGAAGCCTAAAAGGCCATTGACTTGGTCTAAACAATCTTCCAAAGAACATGGAATCCATGAAAGAGAAAAATAAAAGAACAAAAGGACAGTTGAAGTACTGAGGAAGACATCACTAAGAAATGGTTAAAAGAATAATAATATATGAATTGATATGAAAAATAGCAAATAAAGTTTCAAAACAGAACTAAAATGCATAAATATGTTTATATACTGTATATGAGACCCCTAGAACCATAAGAAATACAAAAAATTCACTGTTAATAATTCATTCTCGAATTGCCCCCCTTAAAAATTACATTGCCCCCCAGTGGGGCATGTGCCCCACATTGGGAACCACTGGTCTAGGTCCTTGTGTTTTTATTGCTAAACCATGCCTTGTGGTGCATGAAATCTTCAGTCAGGCCACTGGGTAGGCAGGAGGGAACAGGATGAGATGGGGGTACTGTCGTTGAAATAAGGTCAGGTACTCAGTAGGGGAGGAGAACGTACTCACTTGTTTTGTATGAGGAAGAGAACAGTAAGGATCATTCATGAAGCCAGAGGTGGCTCTATACAGTCGGGGGAGAAGAACCTCAGTGTGGGAGTGAGATCGGGTTAAAGTTTGGAAAGTCTGTGTCCCTTTTTAATTTCCTGTTTGTTGTCTTTGTAAAGTAAACGATCTCCAGTGTATCTGAACACAGAAATTGTAACTGGTTATTATGTTTATATCTCTATGGTTGGCCTATAATGTATTCCATATTCTATCTTGTATTATTTAACTTAGAAAGCACTTGAGAATTCTTTTTGTTATTATATGTGAAGTAAAATAAGCAGCACTAATACAGCTTTGTTCGTTATACTATGCAACACTCTGTGATCTAGTGAAATACCAACAATAACATTTAATTTAAAAAGAATCTTGGACATAGGAAATCTTTCAGTCCCAGTTAATTGGATCAGCCATAAGCATGGGGTGAAACAAAGCTGGGAGTGGTGCTGTACCCATGGTTTACAAGCCAGACTGGCTGTTGGACTGAATGTTTAGAAACATTCCAAGCTTCCCAATTACACAGTCTCCTTGGTCCCTCTCCTGTAGCTTGATGTCTGAATCACTAGGCGAATGGAGGCAAGGTGTCTCACATGTTGATGGGAAATTCCCCTCCACCACACGTACGCACACTCATCCATGCATTAGAGGGGAGGGGTAGGTCGTCGGATCAGGTGAAGAAAATAACAAAGTATTTAGATTGGAAAGCATGGTTTTATACTCTAAAATATCAGAATAAATGAAACAACGTAAATTTTACCATTTTATGGATCAATTAAGACATAATTATTCTTCTGTTATGGCTCTCATTTATAAAGTGTACTAGAGGCCTGGTACACGAATTTGTGCACGGGTGAGGTCCTGGGGGTGGCCTGCAGGGATCGGTCCCCAGGCTCCCAGCCCCAGCTTGCAGCCCTGCAGCCCTGCCTGGCGCCCTGCCTGGCAGCCCGCTGTGGCCTGGTGCCACCCCCTCACCTGCTCCACCATCATCCTGCCTGTGGGGCAATTGGTCGGGGGCCCCCTGCCCCTGATGGTTGCCGTCTGCGGAGCGATTGGTGGGGCGATCGGGTCCCCGCTCACAACCACCTTGGGCTGATACTGGCCGCTCACCTGCTCTACCATCCCACCATGGTCCCGCTCTTGGGGCCCATTGGGGCCGGCAGCACCTCCACTGCTGCCCACTGCCAGTACTGTGTGGCCAATGCCTGCCATGTTCCACGCCGCCCCCTGGTGGTCAGCGCACATCATATCGAGTGGTCGAACTCCCAGTCGAACAATTTACATATTAGGCTTTTATTATATAGGATTATATAGGATACTTAATTTCTTTTAACGTAGGTCTGCCCAAGTTCATAGCTGAAGGCAAGCATGTCAAACTCAAAGGCAAAATGGGTCAAATAAGCAAGGTTTAAGTTTATGTGGGCTGCAAAAAAAACACACGAAAGCTTCAATTTTCATAGAAACGTACATTTATTTCGATAGAGACATGCTGAGTACAAAGGAATGAAATAAATGAGTAATTGTTAACAAAATAATAGAACATATTAATAAAAATTAATATTTTTTCTTGAACATTTACTTACCAGACACTGAATAACCGCACAAATTAATAAGCGTAGTGCAAAGAAACCTATTTTTCTTGTTGTCCGAAAGCGAACTATTTCCTGTTGCGCACACCAAACAAGTCAGTCCAAGACTAATGACGTGGCCATCGTCTGCTAAAATATGCGCTGCAAGTATTAGTGGAGAGAAATGGTGCACCTGTGCATAAGGCACAAAAGTGAAATGAATGTAACACGATTGTAGTAATCAGTCATTAGGGAGCGTTGATTATGTACAACAGGATATTGTAAAAATTAAGTCACTAAATTTTTATTAAAATGTTTCTTACATCCCGTTACATTGGCTGGGCCGCAAAAATATCCGTGGTGGGTGCATGCGGCCCGAGGGCCACGGGTTAGACATGCTTGGCGGAAGGGAATCCTCAAAACGGGGTTTACGATCTGAATGTTCGCCGTCTTCCCTCAGCTGCTAGTCCGGTGGAAACTGTATTCACTTGAGAAGGTCAGAGCGATCCGACAGTGGAAACCAGAGTGATAACTTCCATCTTCGGTCTGTTTCTCAGTGAAGCAGTTGTTTTGTTTGTATCCTTCACAGGCCTAAGATTTAATTAATCATATTAAAGTCTGCTCAGACAGTAATTTAACTAAAAAGATTTAGATTACAGTTAAATGCTACACTCTGTTGCTTTCTACTTCTTGTTAGGGTCTTTGGCTGAATTCCCCACCCTTTCCCAATGAAGCTTACTTGGAAAACTCTTCGAAATTTAAATGCGTAATCATTTCTCAAATTTTAAGGGTGATTAAAGTTCTTTTTTTGTTACGTTTGTTTAACAAATTAAAATAATACTTCTGAAAAATTAGCGACCCTGTTGTATATTGCTGTTCCTGCCGTTAGCTGGTTTGTAACAAGACCTAATGTAGAAGGTGTTGCCTAGGATCATCATAAATCTTTTTTTTATTTCCAGACAAGTGAAAATTACATCCTGTCTAGTGATACCAGGTCACAGCTCAAATTTCTCGAAAAGCTGGATCAACTGGAGAAGCAGAGAAAGGATTTAGAAGAAAGAGAAATATTGCTGAAGGCAGCCAAGGTGAGGCCCGGCCTGGCCCCTGAGAGAGCACGCCTGGCAGGGAGGGCAGAACTGCTTTCCTCGTTGGTTGGCTGTCCTGGTTTTATAGGCTTCCGCTTTCTCTCAAGGATTTCTTTTGGTAAAGTTTCTCACACCCAGGATGGGAGGGTACGGTGGCTTTCATTTAATTTAGTTTATTGAGATACCTCCTTCTCAATTTCTGTCTGCCCTGCCTCACCCCAACAATGTCCCCTACAGCTTCCATGGTGTGTAGCTGTGTGATGAGCTATGCCAAGCACGTCGAAGTTGAGAGAGGAAAATTGGGAAGGTAGACAGGCAGCAAGGTATGGGTAAAATTAAGAGTAATTAGGAGTTTATGGAATAAACTGTAGGATTCCAGAAATGGGTTAGAGGGAGTAAAGAGGGAACAGGGGATGCTGTTATTTATTCCTCTTCCCTGTGTAACATCCGCCGGGGCTGCAGGTGCCGGGGCGGGAAGCTCATCCCACTGCGGTTCGCATGTTCCCCCACCTTTCTTTCCAGGTCTGGGCCTTTGCGTAGCCTTCGAGTTGGACACTAGTTTTGTTTTGTGTTTTAAACACCTTAGTGCTAGTTTCCAGTGTTCTTGGCAGCCACCCCTTTTAGAGTATTTGTTCCTAATTACATTGGAATCGCTTTTCAGAAACTTTTTTTTTTAAAAATATGGAACGCTTCACGAATTTGCGTGTCATCCTTGCGCAGGGGCCATGCTAATCTTCTCTTTATCGTTCCAATTTTAGTATATGTGCAGCCGAAGCGAGCACCAGAAACAATTTTTAAAAAATTATATCATGCTTGCCAAAAAGTTGCCAGAACTATATGAAGAACGCTCATCTCCTTGACTAAGATTCTTTTTATTTTTATTGTTTACAGTATTATAAGTCTCCTTTTTGCCCTATCGACCCCTCCCCGGCCACTCCCACCCCCAGGACAAGCCCCCATTGCCCCAGTGTCCATGTCCATGGGTTATGCTAATATGCATGCGTATAAGTCTTTTGGTTGCTCTCTTATTCCCCCCCCCCCCGTCTTCCCTCTGAGGTTTGATGGTCTGTTTGGTATTTCTCTGTCTCTGGATCTTTTTTTTTTTTCCTGTGTGAGAATTTGGAGGCTGGCCAGTGGTAAATTATGTTCAATGAGACAACACTAGGCCAGTACTATATTCCTCACTTACTCTTCTACTACATGATGTTCCACATTGCGTTTTTAAAAATATATATATATTTTTATTGATTTCAGAGAGGAAGGGAGAGAGATAGAAGCATAAGTGATGAGAGAGAATCAGAGAATCATTGATTGGCTGCCTCCTGCACACGCCCTACTGGGGATCAAGCCCGCAACCCAGGCGTGTGCCCTGCTTGGGATCAAACCGTGACCTCCGGGTTCAAAGGTCAATATTCAACCACCTGGTGACCCTGGCCAGGCTTCTACTTAATTTTTTTTTTTTAATTACACTTTCTAAGAGAGAGAATTGGTTCGAAGCTAGTCAGAATCTTGATTTTAGTAGTCCTTGCTCCCCACCCCTCCAAAATGGTTTTACCTAAAGATTCGCCATTGCTAAAGATTTGCCATTGTTGATTGTTTTCATTCCTTCCTAATGCCACGACCCTTTAATACAGTTCCTCATGTTGTGGTGACCCCCAATTTCACTGTTACAAATTGAACATAATTAAAGTATAGTGATTAATCACAAAAACAATATGTAATTATATATGTGTTTTCCCATGGTCTTAGGCGACCCCTGTGAAAGGGTCGTTCAGCCCCAAAGGGGTTGTGACCCACAGGTTGAGAACCGCTGCTTTAAGCCAACGGTTACCCTTCTTTTCTTTTCCTGCGTCCATACCATGGTGTTGTAGTGCTTAGTGTCCTGGCAGGAGCAGCGTCAGGCCTCCTCGGGACCTGCCTGGCATTGTTAGCATCATGCTGGGTCGGAGCTCCGGGCTGGAGCTGTAGCAGCCACTGGCGATGGCGGGGTGGGGGGGGGGGGGTGGGGGGGAGTGCACAGAACTAGACTGAGGGCATTTACCCTGGAGGTCAGGGTTTCAATCACCAAGAGAAAATTGTCCATTTATTAAATATTTAACGGCAGGCTATGGGGTTAGAATGCGCTGTAAATATTCTATTAAAATTCCCTTTCCCTTGGAAGA